AAAGCCCCAGATCCTGCAGTCATGTTAGTGCAGGCAAATCTCAGTTTTCATTTTAAAATAAAAGTAACTTCTTGACCTCACATTTGCAGAGAAAAAGCTTGAAACAGGGCCGGCTCTAGGCACCAGCGCTCCAAGCTTGTGCTTGGGACGGCACTTTCCAAGGGGTGGCACTGCAGGCCCCCCCTTTTTTTTTTGCTTGGGGCGCAAAAAAGCCGGGAGCCGGCCCTGAACCAAGATATCCCTGTCAGCTGATGCTTTCAGGCTGAGTTGGAACTGATACTGCAGTTCTGGCTTCAGTAGCTAGATGGCGCTCATGGCAGTCTGAGTTACACAGGCTGGACTGCAGTTCAGGCTGCCCTGCCCCTGGAGAGCCAGAGCATCATCCCCTGAGCCAGGGCCAGCTCTAGGTTTTTTGCTGCCCCAAGCAAAAAATATTTTTGCTGCCCCCCCACCCCAGCCCTGGGCTCTCCCCCTCGCCCCCCAACTGCACCCTCTTGCCGCCCCAGCCCTGGGTCACTGGTAACTTGCTCCCAGGGCGGGTCATTCAGCAGGAATTTTGGATGTGCACAGAACACAGGCAGGATTGGTTCCATATGGTTACAGAACTGCAGTAAAGTGGAACAATTTTCAGCTTGTGTGATTGGAGGATATCTGGATGGATATAAGACTGTCCTACATAAATGAGAAAAAGTTGAGGTGCCTTTATTATTCTTTTGTTCCGTTCTTTGTTTCTATGGGGAATGCACTATCACGGTCTTCCTTTTAAACAAATAAAACTAAAACTTAAAAAAAAAAAGTAAATGACTGTTGAAAATAGCAATTCCAGTCCTAATAATCACCGGGAAGCATTTCTTGCTCAATTTATTCTACTTTTTCTACAGCAAGTTACAGTGGATCAGTATATTTGATTTGGGGGAAATGAAGTAACGGCTGCCCAAATTGAGCTTGAGCACTCTGGAATTTTGAGGGCGTTCAAATCTGGAAGGCAGGTGCTGCATTCCCTTTCTCAATATTAGCTATATCTGGAAAGGAAAAGTCAATTTCTGCTTCCATGGCTCAGAAGTGTAAATCCTCCTACGTGCCTGGTACTGTATCTAAAGCTGCCCAGGTCCAGAGCCTCCCCTCCCTTACTTTTCATTTTAAATTCTAGTGGGATCCACATACCTCCCTTGCTAGGCTTCAGATAGGGAGGTGCATCTCCATTTAGTCCACCCAATTCCTTCTTTGGGGGAGAGCCCAGGGCTGGGGTGGCGGGGAAGAGCCCAGGGCTGGGGCAGCAGGAGGTGCTGGAGGAAGAGCCCAGGGCTGGGACAGCAGGAGGGTGCAGGTGGGGGCCAGAGCTGGGACAGCAAGGGGTGCGGGGGGAAGAGCCCAGGACTGGGGCAGCAGGAGGTGCGGGTGGAGGGAGAGCCCAGGGCTGGGGCAGCAAGGGAGTGCAGGTGGGGGCCAGAGCTGGGGCAGCAGGGGGTGTGGGCGGGGGAAAGTCCAGGGCTGGGGCAATACAGTGGTGC